TTGTGTGACTGCCTCCCTGCATGTGTGACTGTCTGCTGTGTGTAACTGTTCGTGATTGTGTGCCTGTAACTGTATGTGACTGTCTGCCTTTAACTGTGTGTTTGGCTCTGTGACTGTCTGTCTGTAACTGAGCATGTGTGACTGTCTGCATGTAACTGTGTGTGTGTGTGTGACTGTCTGCCTGAAACTGAGTGTGTCTGACTGTCTGCCTGTAACTGAGCGTGTCTGACTGTCTGCTTGTAACTGTTTGTGTGACTGTCTGCCTGTGTGTTACTGTATACAGGCAACATGGTGGGGAGGGGGGAACAGAGGGGGCGCCGTGAAGCCTTGTCACACAGGGCGCCTAATGGACTAAGGCCGGTTCACATACTGGAGTGAAAATGTATTCTAGCAATCAAATAATCTCTCTTTATCCTGCAAATTGGATGACAGATTAACTTCATGAAGAACCCCTAAATTTGACCATTCAGAATAAAGCATATACAAGAGAGAATGGTATTGAGTTAATTTTCAGTCAGAGAAAAGCTTTTGTACTCATTTAGACTCTCTTATTTTTTTGGTTTTGAGATAAGTGTATATTTGTAAATTGCTTTCTACAAATATCCAGTTTATAACAGTTTTGAATGAGGATATTCAATTTTTTGTATTATATCTAATAGGGGTTAAGCCCCAGACACCACTGGAGTGTCTCTTTGGTGACTATATTCAGGGTGAGAGGTTCTGCACCCCCAAGTCATCTTAAACTGAATATCTTTATAGTTAGTAGAGTTGAGCGAACCCGGACTATAAAGTTCAGGTTCGTACCGAACATTAGGTTTTTTGGACCCCGGACCCGAACACGGACATATCACTATATGTTCGGGTTGGAGTTCGGTGTTTGGCGATTTAATGGCACGTTTTGAAAGGCTGCAGGCCAGCCAATCAACAAGCGTTTGGCTCGTGTGCCCTTAGAAGCCATCACAGCCATGCCTACTAATGGCATGGCTGTGATTGGCCAGTGCAGCATATGACCCAGCCTCTATATATAAGCTGGAGTCGCGTAGCGCCGCACGCACATGAGGTCTTATTAGTGTCGGGAGAGGATGCTGATAGGGACAGCTTAGGAAAGAATTCTGTAAACTAGTACATTAGTGGGGTGGGGTGCAGTTCATATCTGAGAGTCAAATAGAACCTTCAAATACCACGGTTACATCGGAGTTTTAAAAAGTTAATTTTTTTGGGTGCTAAATAGAACATTAGTGGGTTAGTACATTAGTGGGGTGCACTTCATATCTGAGAGTCGAATAGAAGCGTCAAATACTGCTGTCACATTGCAGTTTTAAAACTTAAAATTATTTGGGTGCTAAACTGCTAAATAGTATTTTAGTGGGGTGCACTTCATATCTGAGAGTCAAATAGAAGAGTCTAATAGTGTGTTTACAGCGCAGTTGTAAAAATTCTAATTGTTTTGCTGCTAATCTGCTAAATAGTACATTTGCGGCCTGCGGTGCACTTCATATCTGAGAGTCAAATTGAAGCGTCTAATAGTGTGCTTACAGCGCAGTTGTAAAAATTCTAATTTTCTGGGTGCTAATCTGCTAAGTAGTACATTTTGGGGCCTGCGGTGCACTTCATATCTGAGAGTCAAATAGAAGCGTCAAATAGTGCGCTTACTGCGCAGTTGTAAACATTCTAATTGTTTTGCTGCTAATCTGCTGCTTACATTGGAGTTTTAAAAAGTCTAATTTTTTTGGGTGCTAAATAGTATATTTGGGGTGTTCACTTCATATCTGCGAGTCAAATGGAAGCGGCAAATAGTGTGCTTACAGCGCAGTTGTAAAAATTCTAATTGTTTTCTGCTAATCTGCTAAATAGTAAATTTTGGGGCCTGCGGTGCACTTCATACCTGAGAGTCAAAAAGATGTGTCAAATAATATGCTTACAGCGCAGTTGTGAAAAATTCAAATTTTCTGGGTGCTAATCTGCTAAATAGTACATTTTGGGGCGTGCACTTCATATCTGAGAGTCAAATAGAAGCGTCAAATAGTGTGCTTACTGCGCAGTTGTAAACATTCTAATTGGTTTGCTGCTAATCTGCTGCTTACATTGGAGTTTTAAAAAGTCAATTTTTTTTAATTCTTTTTTTTTGGTGCTTAATAGTATATTTGGGGTGTTCACTTCATTTCTGAGAGTCAAATCGAAGCGTCTAATAGTGTGCTTACAGCGCAGGTATAAAAATTCTAATTGTTTTGCTGCTAATCTGCTAAATAGTACATTTTGGGGCCTGCGGTGCACTTCATATCTGAGCGTCAAATAGAAGCGTTAAATAGTGCGCTTACTGCGCAATTGTAAACATTCTAATTGTTTTGCTGCTAATCTGCTGCTTACATTTGAGTTTTAAAAAGTCAAAAAAAAATTGGGGTGCTAAATATTTGGGGTGTTCACTAACTCTAATTGTTTTGCTGCTAATCTGCTAATCTGCTAATCTGCTAGTGTGCTTACAGTGCAGTTGTAAAAATTCTAATTTTCTGGGTGCTAATCTGCTAAGTAGTACATTTTGGGGCCTGCGGTGATAGTACGCTGTTGTGCCTAATCATTAAATTCATGAAGCACCAATATCCAAAAAGCAATAATCAATTACCTAATAAGGTTTATAGCGATATTGGCGGGCACACAACCCAGTTCGAGATGAGTGTCTTGGGCTATAGGAAAGAGAAACCACACAGAGACCAAGTTGCAGATAAGAATTCACCCAACACTATATTGTCCACAAGGGGACCCAATACAGAGTAAGCTTAAAGGACCAGTATAGTGCCAGGAAAACATACTCGTTTTCCTGGCACTATAGTGCCCTGAGGGTGCCCCCACCCTCAGGGTCCCCTTCCCGCCCGGCTCTGGAAAGGGGAAAGGGGTTTAAACTTACCTTTTTGAAGCACTGGGCAGGGAGCTCTCCTCCTCCGATCCTCCTCTACTCCTCCCCGTCGGCTGAATGCGCATATTCATAATGCTTTCCTATGGACGCTGGCGTGTTTTCACTGTGAAAATCACAGTGAGAGGCACGCAAGCGCCTCTAGTGGCTGTCAATGAGACAGCCACTAGAGGAAATAGGGGAAGGCTTAACCCATTCATAAACATAGCAGTTTCTCTGAAACTGCTATGTTTATGAAAAAAATGGGTTAACCCTAGCTGGACCAGGCACCCAGACCACTTCATTAAGCTGAAGTGGTCTGGGTGCCTAGAGTGGTCCTATAATTCTCATTAAGCAGTTGCATGCACTCACTTCAAAACAGCTTAGCATCCGGATATATCAGCTTAAGTATACATCACCATTAGAGAGGTTTCGTTGTGTCCTCACTGCACGTGACTGGGGGAACTCTGGCAGTCAACTTGGAGGGACCCTCTCTGGGAACAGCAGAGACCAGCAACACGCGTCCGCATTACAGGTGTGTAGTTCTCCAAGTGAGTGCCAAGTTTCTCCATCTTTTATACCTTTTAGCAAGTTTGTAACTTTTCCAAGATTTCTTATCAGTGCAGCCCAGCATGTATCTTGTCATGCGCATTAAGTAATCAGTATGTTTGATCAGGCCAGTCGTGACCACCCAAGGTTCATGCCAGACACGTGCGGTATCTTATTCTATCTATGTCCCTACTCTTTTCTTTCCATACATTTGTTGGCACCAATTCCCTCTGTTCAGCACGTGGGCATTTTTGGATATTGGCCAGACATGCTATGGAATATTCCAGGCAATGTTGAATTTCTTAGTGCGACACAGTTTAACCCCTTAAGGACCAAACTTCTGGAATAAAAGGGAATCATGACATGTCACACATGTCATGTGTCCTTAAGGGGTTAAGCATTTTATGCAATGTCATCATAGCTGAATTTCTTAGTGCGACACAAGTTGAATTTCTTGGATTTTATCACAATTATCACATTCCATCCCTTGATCACTAAGTGAGCAAAACCTTACACATTTACGCATACCATTCAGGTTATCAGCAGGGGGCAAGCCCATTTTCCCACTGATCCCCATATTGTTCCATTCACACCTGGAACCAATTCATGCAATAAAGCTCTTCGAGTCGAAGGTCACCCGTAGGACATGCCTCTTCCCGCTTAACATTTCTAATCTTAAGGGCATCTAACCTATCTATGAAAACATTTGTCACTCTTCTATCTAGGTCTATCCTGTCATTTGTTTTACATGTAGCTACTCTTTGAATGCAGCAAATGGTAAGTTTGTAGCATAGGGAAATACAAAGTATAATAAAAACACACCACACAATTCCCTTTAATATTTTCATCCCAAGTCCTCCTATCCATGATCCTATACCAAATGTCCAGTCAAAGTCTTGTGAAGTATTAGCTAGCCAGTGTTCTAAGTCGTCTGTGGTTAGTGGTTTTCTAAAGCATTTTTGTATCTCTTCTAAATGCTGAAGCTCATGCTTAAGTTTCCCTGATTTATCTTCTATCCACACACAACATGCCTTGCCTCCTATTCTTTTACATACTCCTCCTTCTGCTGCAAGCAAGTAATCCAAGGCTATTCTGTTCTGCAAGGCTACCTGTCTAATCTGTTCTTGCTCATAATTAAGCAAACTGATAGCAAGTCCTGTGCTATTAAAGGCATCGTCAATAGTATCAATTAAAAGATTTAAATTAGTTATCATCATTCCCACTCCCACCATTGGAAAGAGAGAGACCCAAAACTGCATGTTTCTGTTCATTTTAAATCCTGATAAATCGGTGTCTCGCTTTTGCCAATGATGATGGGTGTTTTCAGGTAAAGTTTTAGTAGGGTAAATGGCGGGCATCACCATTCCCAAGGTACAATCAATTTTCATTTTACATGGGAGTTTTTTATAAGCCCATCTCCCACAAAGCCAATAAAATCCTCTTGAAGGAATGGGGTGATTTATACAGCTTACATTAGAACGTTTAAATTTGAAATAAGTACTAAACACTCCTGTACCTACTATTTTATGCCACCATCGACTTATATTCTCTGCCTCGCCTTCTCCTAGGACATACTTCCATCTGCCCTCGGTTCTTTTCTCACCATTTTCCATCCCATTAAAATAGTCAAAACTCCATCCTGTGTAAAAAGGGGATAATGCCATGGTAGTTACATAACTGCTAGGTCGGACGTTCGGTTGGTAGTTATGGTCAGTGTAGTATTTTTGGTAAACATTAATAGTCACTACTTATTCTAAGTCGTCAGGGTATTCCCATTCCCCCATGCGCAGCTTAACTGCACCTGGTCTGTCCCTAGTATCTTCACTTAAGAAGATCTTGGGGACCTCACTTGTGTCATTGCTTATTAGAAAGTAAAAACCAACATTATGTCTGATGATGTACAGCAAGTCTTTTTTCGTCAATACTTTAGGGAAATAGGGGTACCCTCTGTCATGAGCATGTGGCGTATGGCCACACACCCAACATGGCTTACATAAATCCAAGCTCTTATATACATTAGCTGCTGCCTTAATAAAGTGATTGTGTTCTTCCCAAGGCGAGAGGTGTCTGTTTGATTTAGGGGTGTCAGAACAAGTCGTCATGGATGTCCTTTGAATTTTTAAAAGTAAATACCAAAAGGTATCAGGGGTGCTGTTAGTGCAGCAGTAGGTTGCACCACTATTCTCTACAATAGTGTATGTTCGCTTTGTGCTTTGCTGACTTGCGTAACCTACGCAATATTGGGTAAGTTCTTCTAGAGTAATATTAGAGTCAATATGGGTATATAGTATGCAGCAGCCAAAAGGTGTTGCAGATTCTAGCGTCAACATATCAAATGATTCATGCAGCAGCTTAATATAGTTCATCACCTCAGTGTCATTGTGGCTAAAATAGCCTTCTCCATACAGGCTTGCCCTTATGTTTGGACAGTCATTAGTCAGGCAGGTTACTCGTATCTCGATCTCTTTCCACTTCGTCTCTGCGGAATCACTCTAGTCCCAACCTCCAATCTCGTTGCTGGTATCTGAACCGACCGAAGGGTGTAGAGTAAGCGCAGTCATCACAATAACAGCCGGACCAATGAGCTTTGCCTGTAAAGATACAACTCCTCTTACTCTCTCAAATAACATTTGCCCGAAGGCACGTATTCCCATTTATCTTGTCCTGACTTGGAGAGTATCACAGTGTTGTCATTGCCTGTTGCAATAATGTCTGCTGGTTCTGGGGGACCTTTCTCAGTCCTCACCCAGACTTTGGCCCCTGGATTTAGGTTTGTAAGGTGGGGGCCGTTCCTTTATGTACCTGTCCCTGGTAAATGGGGATGATAACCAATTGGGCTATTCTGTCCCCTTCTTGCACTAGCAAGTCTTGTGGTCCCTGATTTAACAGAAGGACCTTTATTTCTCCTTGGTAATCTGCGTCTATAACCCCTCCCATTACGTGTATCCCTTTAAGGGTGAGGCTAGACCTAGGTGCAATTAGTCCAAAGTGTCCCGGGCGTATTTGTATTCCTATACCTGTGGGGAACATCTGAACTTGCCCTATTGGAAGTCTTTCTTTCTTTCTGGCTCGCAAGTCTATTCCTGCAGCCTCTGGGGTAGCCCTGTATGGAGCCAGAGCTCCCTCTTCTATTTCCCAATATGTGATGGTGTTGCTTGTTACATAAGGTTTAGCTTGTATATTGGGTGCAATCATTTTAGTGAGGGGAGTGTCATGGTCTGAGAGTGGCCTATTGTTCAAGATGTTTACAGCTGTAGGCAAGTTCTCTCCATTTGTGCATGGTCCCTTCACCAAGTTTCCTCAATTGTTGTTTCAATAACCCATTCATTCTTTCAATCAGACCAGCTGCTTGAGGATAGTAGGGTATATGAAATATCCATTCAATATTGTTTTCATCACAAAAGTCTTGTACCAGTTTTCCTTTAAAGTGACTTCCATTGTCACTCTGAATTTGTAATGGAAGACCATAGTATTGTATTATGGTTTCCAGCATTTTAATAGTATTTATTTGGGTAGCCCTCTTGCAAGGGTGGACCAATAAATACCCTGAATATGTATCCACAGCCGTGCATACATATTGACAATTTTTACTCATAGGAAGTGGACCTATGTAATCCACCTGCCATATTTGCCCTGGGGCTTTTCCTCTTTTTATTTGACCTCTAGCTTTGTGTGTCTGTCTATAGGCAGTAAGTATAATCCAACTTCTTTTCTGCCACTTATCTTTTGGAATCTTTGACAAGCAAGCTAGAAGGTCAGTAGGCATGTCAATTTAACTTTTTTCACCTTCATCATTGCATTTGCCAGCGGAACGACCCATTCCCTGGCAATCAATGCATATGGCTCATCTTCCCATCCGTGAATGATGGCGTCATCACCCTTATTCTTATTCTTTTTAAACATTGTGCAACGTTCCTGTGGTTATTTCAGGGAAAAAACTTTCACTCAAGCCTGCCCAGATGACTATATTCTGCCTGCAGGCTTGCGCTCCCCGAGCACACTGACGCTCTACACACTCCGTGGAGTGTATAGGGACAGCTATGATCGAGCCAGCAATCTCACACTTTCAGGAACAACCGTTTCCTTCACTTCCTCAGTCAGCACTGGCTTCCAGCACCCGTTAAGGTGCGTAGGGGCACTTGTTAACTGACCAAGCATAATCACTCATTCGTGTCAGAATCACCCCAAACAATCTTGTGGTTTTGGGGACCTTATCTCAATACCTGGTATTAAATTAGCAGCAATTCAGCCTCATCCAGGACGCTAGCCTGTTTGAGGGTAACGCTCCCCAGAAGGTGTCACGAACGCACACTACTTCAAGAGTGCGCGTGACGTAGTTGTGGTTGTGAAAGGGTTAAAGTTCACTATTTGTCTGCACTAGACCGGAAATAATGACAAAATCCCCCTTTAACACCACTCACACTTAAACATAATAATATAACTATTACTATTTTAACGCTGCCACCACCAAGACAATTTATAAATGGGGTGCCTTGGTCCCCCAGGTAAATCAATAATAAAACCCACCAAATATTACTTAGCACAATATTTAAGGAATTATAAAAATACTAACTAGCCTCTTCAGGTAACGTGATTCTTAACCAGACAAAGACAAAACTTAATAAATGAATGTTTATTATGAGCAAAAGATAGTCACAGTGCATTTAAAAATTTGTGTTCGGGGCATTCTCATATGATATAGAATAAGATGGGTGGAGAGATGTAGCTTTAGGAATAATCGGTTGAGGTGTGCTGTAAGCCAGTAAAAAGTGGGCTTACATAGAGGAAATATGAACAATGGGAGTGGAGGGTGGGGCTATTCGTCTGACCAACAAAGGTAAGTAGGGAAAGGGGGGAGTCCCTTTTATAGGTCTATAGCCCCTCCCACAACTTCAGGCCATGCCTTCCAATTTGTGTTCGGGGCATTCTCATATGATATAGAATAAGATGGGTGGAGAGATGTAGCTTTAGGAATAATCGGTTGAGGTGTGCCGAAACCGACATATGCTGTAAGCCGGTAAAAAGTGGGCAAAAAGAGACATATTAACCCCTTCAGGACGGGTGACGGACGAGGTCCGTCACGCAGGGGAGACCCTTAACGACGGGTGACGGACCTCGTCCGTCACGCGGTAAAATTAACCCCGGATCGCCGCTATCGCGGCGATCGCGGGGTTAATGGTGCTCCCGGTATGCCTCTGCATTGGAGGCATACCGGGAGCACCCGGTCAAGCTGCCCAGCACATGTGCTCGCTCTGACCACAAGTCAGAGCGAGCACATGTGCTCTGTATACTCACCTACCGGCTCCCTGCACTTCCGGGTTCTGTGTGAAGTGCAGGGAGCCGGATCAGTGCTGATCCTGCCCCCTGCTGTTAAAAAAAATAAAGTTTATTTAAAGTGTCCCCCCCCTTACCCATTTTAATAAAAAATTAACCCCTTCCCTGCCAATTGATCACTGACTACAGTGATCAATTGGCAGGGATTACATTTTACTATGATCTGATTTTTTTTTTTAACCCCTGAGGGTTAATTCTTTTTTTTTTTAACCCTCAGGGGTTAAATTAATTAAATTAATTAATTAAATTATTTTTACATTATATATTTAGATAGCTGGGGTAGGTGGAAGTTAGTGGGGAATTGGGGGATTTGGCGTTAGGCTAACTAGGGGTTAACGTTAAAAAAAAGTTTTAAAAGAAACTTTAAAAAGTTAAAAATTAAGCTTAAAAAAATGTTTTAATAACATTTAAGTAAAAAAAAACAAAAAAACACACTTTACCTAGTCCAAATAAAAATTAACCCCTTCCCTGCCAGTCGATCACTGCCTACAGCGATCAAATAGAGATCGCAGTATTATACTGTGATCTAATTTTTTTTAACCATGAGGATTAACTTTTATTTATTTTTTTAACCCTCAGGGGTTCAATTTATTTAATTAATTAATTTAAATATTTTATAACTATATATTTTGCTAGCTGGGGTGGGTGGGAGTTATGGGAAAATGGTGAATTTACTGTTAGTGCTGCGTACTGCTAGTTAGGGGTTAACAGTAAAAAAATAGCTTAGAAAAATGTTAAATCTGTAAAAAAGTTTTAAGAAAGTTTAGGAAAGTTTAAAAAAAATTTATAAGCAAAACAAAAGTTTAAAAACTAGTTTTTAAAAGTAAAAAAGTTATAAAAAGTAAAAAATACATTTTAAAAACGCTCATTACCACTACACCTGGAACAAACTAGTGAAAAAAGTATCCCACGCCAAGGTTCAAAATATGCCTTTTGAATTACCCCAGGGTGTATTCTTTAATAAATAGTATGTGTTTGTGGGGAAGTTTCAATAACCAACCGTCAAAACTATTCCAAATTGGAACATGGACACAGCGTAAAACTTCAAAGTTAGAAAAAAACTGAATGGCTGCGTCTCAAATGCGCCCCTTCAACATCCACATATACCTGGCAAAGGTACATACGGGGGTATTGCTGTACTCAGCTGACATAGCTGAGCAACATATGAAGTATTATACAGTCATAGTACACATAAGGTTTGCAAAATATGCTGCGCAAACTCACTTTGTGTGTCAAAAAGGCAGAAGAAACGCTTATTACCACTACACTTGGTACAAGCTAGCGGAAAAATGATCCCACACTAAGGTTCAAAATATACCTTTTGAAATACCCTGGGATGTCTTCTTTAAGAAATGGTATGGCTTTATGGGGAATTTGGATTATATAGCCAGGTAAAATACTCTAAAATGGGACATAGGCACAGCATAAAAATTCAAAGTTTGAAAAAAACTGGAATGGCTGTGTCCCAAATGTGCCCCTCCGATGTCCACACATACCTGGCAAAGGTACATACAGGGGTATTGCTGTACTCAGCCGACATAGCTGAGCAACATATGAAGTATTATACGGTCGTAGCACACATAAGGTTTGCAAAATATACTGTGCAAACTCACTTTGTATGTCAAAAAGGCAGAAAAAACGCTTATTACCACTACATCTGGTACAAGCTAGCGGAAAAATGATCCCACGCTAAGGTTCAAACTATACCTTTTGAAACACCCTGGGTTGTCTACTTTAAGAAATGGTAGGCCTTTGTGGGGTAGATTGAATTTAAAACCTGCGAAGATGCTTGGAAATTGCACATAGGCCCAGCGTCAAAATTCAAAGTTTGGTAAAAACGGATATAGCTTGGTCTCCTATATGGCACTGTAGCTTCACAAAATAGTGACAAAGACATTCATTGGGGGTGTATTTTTACTCCAAAGACTTAGCTGAGCATAATTTGGGAGGTTTGAACTTAGTGGCACATATGAAATATACAAAACGCCCAGCAAAAATGCAATTCGTATGTAAAAAATGCACAAAATAATTTTTTACCACATACTTTGGCATATATTGGTGAAAAAATGGGGGCATGTTAAGCACAATATGCACCTTATAAGATACCCTGGAGTGTCTACTTTTACAAATGGTAGGCCTTTGT